GACTCCATTTACTGGGGGTGTTAAGCCCCTTGACATTAAGGGTCGTAATTTTCATAAATGGCTAGGTGCATGGTTGCTGCGGTGGTGGCCCAGGGGAATGGTGTCCCTGTGGTTGGTGCTATGTGGAGTATTCGGCTCTTGTCGTAGCATTGCAACATAGGACTACATGTCCTCTTTGGTGGAATTGGTGATGCCGGGTGGTAATGGGGGGGAGGTAACTATAGGAGGAGGGGAAAATCCCGCAACTGCGGGTGAGAAAACGCTCAGCAAGTCTGAGCAACAGTGTGGTCTGGTTCTCCCAGACCCACATGGGGTGGGGGGTGACTTCGAGTGTCTCCATACAGTAAATAGAGTCACTCTGGTCTCAGGGCCCAGTCGGGGCTGCTGGGAAGCCATTGGTTTAGTGAGGCAGCATTTCTCATGCCATGACTGTGCTGTGGCGTACGCCCAAGCTTACAGTGGTGTGATCCACTATTAAAGAAATGTTAAGGCTGACCGCAGGTCACGGAGGCAAAGTAAACGTGAGATAATTCTTGACCATAGAAAAACATGTACATAAACATATAAACCTGAAAATATTAAACAATAAGACATCTCTCTCAAGCGAGGATATATAGTGTGTATTTAAAGGGACACCGTAGGCACTGTATCTGCTTCATCTCATTAAACTAGTTATAGTGTCTGGAGTCCCCTGGTACCATCATTTCTTTCAGCATTAAACAGTTTTTAATGTTGTAATGTTTTAATGCTAAACAAGAGTCCACGGCAGTCTATTCCCTCAGTGCTGCTTTGGCTAATAAGGAAGTATTACCCTGAGAGGCAATTGGCAGCTGTGATTGGCTGAGAGTGTCAGCTGACTGCTTTTAACCTGTCAGAGCTCCAACAGACAGTATGAATGGGTATGACAACAAGGAAGTGTGTAATCTCTGCCTTAGCTACACATACAGAAGGGGTCAGACTGTGGGTGGCCAGGGACTTTTATTTTGTGGCATACTGCACAAACATGGTGCAACACTGAATGGAGGGACAGTGCCAGGCCACTCCAGGCACTATAACCAATTCAAAGAGACAAAGTAGTTATAGTGACTACAGTGTCCCTTTAAGTAAGATGCCCACCTTGGGTGGGTGTCCGTCTCAGGGTATGACCGTGTTTTGCCAACATGGGCCCATCTAGGGTGATTAGCAATCAAATCATAACGTGTGTTGGCTATAACTAGCTGAGTGTACGACTCTGAGGTCGAGGCCTGGTGGAGTAGATATTTTTATTTTTCCTTTTTTTTTCTCTCTCTCTCTTTCTATGTGTTCTGCTTTACTGCTATACATTCTTGTGAGTGGTCATGCTAATCGGGCAGTGTCGGGTTCTAACCTTAAAATCTAGCGCATTATAACTAAGTGTACAGCTCGCATGGAACATAAGTGTCATAAGCATCTCTCTAGTAAGAACATAGAATGTGCACTGGTATACAATACCCTACACGGGAGGGCCTTCAGTCGTTAGGCGGGAGTCCATGCCGACGTCAGTCTGGGGACTTTAGCCGGTGAAGATGCCAGAGACATAGGTAGTGGTATACCCCAGTCCTGTAGCTTTTTTTAGGCCATCAGTTTCTGTCGCCATGGCATGGATCACCCCCTGCTTCTGCACCAACAACTTCGCCGGACATCCCCATCGGTAGCTGATATCGTTGGATCGGAGCGTGGTAGTGATCAGGGTCATCGATTTTCTAAACTGCAGTGTGGCAGCTGACAGGTCTGTGAAGACTTTGATGTTAGCGTATGGTTCAGGAAGGGAGGTATTCCTACAGGCTTTTGTAATTCGCTCTTTCACGTGGTAGAAATGGATGCGTGCAATTACATCTCTCACTGTAGTGGCAGGTAGGTGGTTAGGTCTGCGCAGGAGGTGGGCTCTATCGCTTACCAAGAGGTCTGGGTGGGTAGCTGGGATTAACTCCTGGAACTGGTCGGTCAGGTATTTGTGCAGTTCTGTGGCCTGAACTGATTCTGGTATACCTTTGAAACGAAGAATGTTCCTTCTGGATCTATCTTCCAGATCTGCGACTTTGCGTTTCTGGGCCTCTAACGAGGTCTCCACTTCTTGTAGCTTGTCTGCAAGGCTGTTATGGGCCACTGCAAAGTCATCCAGTGATTTCGCTTCATGGGCTGTCCTGCTCCCAATCTCTAACAACTCCTTTCTGAGATCTGTGGTGAGCTCATGCATCTGCACTTTAATGCTTGCCTGCAGTTTGTCAGAGAGCTCCACCATCAGGGTTCTCATCCCTGCAACTGTGAGGAGGCCTTCCTCTGAGGCTGAGCTCGGTGAGGTTGGAGGGGAGGGTGAAACCTCGCCTGAGCGCTGGTCGCCACCATCTTGGGCCTGGTCTTTCCTGTTTTTTCCTGCCGGAGCTCGTGCAAGGAAGAAAGAGGCTTTCTCCGTTCTGGGGTCTTCCCCTTGCTTCTATGTGCCATGGTGGGGTGAGTATTCTGATTGCTGCAGTTGGGGGGCTAGTAGTGCTGGTTATTTGGGCCCCTAAAGACCCGGGCTGCGGGAGCTTCACATAAATGCGACTGGTCCCGTCATGCTCCAAGCCATGCCCCCGAAAGTCTATTTTTTAAAAGTAAAATATAGTCTTCAGATTCGATATACGAACCGATATTATTCTGTTCCTGACAAGCATTTAACTGATTAAATTAAAAAGATCCCAACCTTTAAAGGGCTTATGGGGAGCAGAACATGGCGACACACATGATCGCCGGATTTTACTCAAGACCATAAAGAAGTAAGTAATACGGGATGTGAGTGAGCCCAAAGCGGTAGGGCCTGTGATGTGATTGTTGTCACTGGCACAGCCCAAAGGGGTGGACCGACCTGGAAAGGCCCTGGGCATTTAGGCCCTAGTTTTGCTGGCCTAGTGGCAAAGACATCACTGTTTATTGCAAATAGCGTATATTGTTTTCAAACACGCCTAACACTACTTCATCTGCTAGTATCTATCAATCAGTTGTTTTTTTTTTAATCTGGTTTAACTGGAAATTACTTGTAATATTGAACAATACAATGTTCAAATTAAACCTATTAAAATGGAACAACTAGGGATTTAACATTTGAAAGCATTTTAGATCATGCTAGTTTTGTCCCCGAGCTACAGACTACAGCATTTCCTTTCTCTAGCTTCCTAACAACAGTGTTTTTCTAATTGTAATTGCTATTAAATGGACTGGACATCTTCCTAATTATATATATTGTCTCACTATAACAACCATCTGCTCATTCCAATTCTAATTTATCTTGGAATTCCGCAGTGGTTTTATTTATTTACCAAGTATATCTGTTTATATATCTCTATTTGTGTTTGCGGTTTTTCTAAATGCACTGAGGTTGCTTTTAACTGTTCAAAATAAAATTGTGTATTTACCCACTGAGCAGCCATAGCGTTCTTGTTAACTTTATCCTGTACCATTCAATGTACTTTATATCCTTTATATTAGGCAGTATCCTATCTGTTGCTGGAGTGCAACCCCCCGAATTATTTTATGCTCTCCATGGGATGTAGTCCAAGATCAGGGGGGTAGTAGTTCACTTTATGCTGCCAATATAGTTGATTAAATATTGTGTGTTTTTTTAAATCAATTTGTAAATGTAACTGGGTTATGAGACCTTTAGCCATGAACCTTACCTTACTCATAGAATTTATTTTGAGGAACAAATCACTCCAATTTCAACATATACATTACCTTTTCCTGGAACCGAAACCCAGTGTAAGTGTGAGGGCCTGTATTAGCCATTCTTTCATTTTCCGTTACATGCAACATTAATTCTCTTGTTAATGTTTATGGATATTTGTGATACACTGATTGCAGTAATTTCTCTAGGGCTAAGTTCTTCGTTCCAACCGCACACTATGCTGTCATCACAATGTGGCGTAAATGATGGCTTTGCAGACTATAAGTAAATTTGTACCAAAAGAACTTATTTACATTACTTTCCTGCTCTGGAATGTCTTATTGAGATTATTCACTAAACAGAGAACTCTGGTGAGCAATATTCTCTCTATGTGCTTGTTCATGAGCAGCTTAACCCTAACATTTTAAAGAAACTAATCTTTATCACAATTGCACCCTTCGTTAAGATTCACGTATCACCTGTAACTTGACCAGTGTGCTTTAAAAAAAATTTTTTTTTTAAATACTTTTTTATTTTACAGTTTCATGGCTAAACTATGGTCAAATCACAACTAAGTGATTTGAAACATTTTGGCTAACAGTTTTAATTGGGTAAATTACTTTCTCCAGTTTGTTGTCAGGTCACTACAATTCTAAAATGCTGCTGCTACTTCTATTAATCCAACTACTCCTAATAATAATAATAATAATTATTATTATTATTATTATTGTGTTTAATTATTGAATAAACCCCTTGATTTTTAAAAGTAACCATGTGTAATAAGTGATAAATGTGTATCAGAAGCACATGTTATGTTGGTTATCACACTAATAAAAACCAAGTAGAATTTCTATCTATACTGATATGGGTCACACCCAGCATCCATAGGCAGCAAGTGTTCTACTTGCTGTGGATCAGGGCTGGACTGGGAAGAAAATTCGGCCCGGGCATTATTTAATTACAGCGGCCCACTAAAAAGGGGGCGTGGCCAGATAGGGTGTGTTTTGTCATCACCAATGACAAACACGCCCCATCACAAAGTGAGCATGTTGGTTCAATGCTCTTCCAGGGTAGACCATGTGCAGAGCTCTGCTGAAGAACTCTATCATGAGAAAAAGGCCCTGTATTTGTTCTGCACAGCGCAAGAAAATTTAATAACATGCTTGCACTGTGTTTGCTTT